GAGGAGGAGTGCGAGGAGGAGGAGGAGGAGGTGGAGGTGGAGGAGGAGGACGACGACGACGAGGGTGAGCGTGCAGGAGGCACTGCCCAGCCGCCCTGCCTGCGTCCAAGGGATGGCGCGCCCCGCCAGGTCCGGCCTGGCAGCGAGGCCAGCCGCCGCCGCCGCGCAGCTCCGGCGGCCCCTCAGAGGAGGAAGAGGCACCCGTGCCGCTACCCTGAGGTCGGGCGTGTCCCTCTACAGGAGGGAAATTCCGAAATAGTCAAAAAATAGTGCAGGGACGATTTTTTTAATTTTCGAGTACTTTTCAATATTTCCGGGCTGGTTTTAATTTCTCGTCCAGAATCCGCCTGTAGAGGGACACGCCCAACCTAACGCTACCAACCCTTCGTTTTCCCCTTCTTGGGCCTCCTGGGAGGCCCTCATCGCCACCGCTGGATTCGCCTCGGCATTCTGGTCAGAGCGCATCCCGGGAGAGGTCCGGGGAGTAGCGGCATCGGTACCCTTCTGGTTTTCCCAGTCCCGGCACGGGGCCACGGCGGGAGTTCGCCGAGCCCGGCGTCGAGGAGACATCGTCCAGCGGGCCATCACCATATCTGGCGTCGCGCACAAGGGGTCGAGGCGAGGGGGGGGCCTTCTCAGAAGCACGCTGCCTTCTTAGAATCATCTCCCCTTCGAGCCAGCCCTCTCTGCGCACCCTCAACCCCTGGCACTCCGAGACAGCTCCTGAGGCCTGGAGAGGGGACCTTGGCACGGGGTCGGACATGAGAAGCCCTCTCCCGCCTCGAAAGGAAGAGGGGCAGAGGAAGGCGAGACCGAAAGCCTGGGCCCTGAAAGAAGATGCGCAGGACGTGTTGGGGACGCGCCATGGGAGTTGCCATGCGCGAGGCCAGCGCGATCACCAGCCAGAAGGGATATTCTTGCAACGTGTGCAGATTTTGAATACGCACCCGTTTACTCGCACGCGCTTTCCGTTGTAGGCATTGCATGTGTTTCTCGGTACGGTATTTCTTGGTCCGCGCCAGGTTCGCCGATACTTTCCGAATCCTCCCATGTCTTCGGAGCGTGTGCGTGTGTGGGGTTGGAAGACCGCCACGACCGTTGAAGCTCGTGCGTTTCGTCGTTCCGCCTTGATGACCGTGGTTCGTCGATGCCTGGATCTCGCATCGCGTCTCGGACGCAAAGGCACCAGATATGATTGTATACCCGCTGTAGGACCGAGTCGGCCGTCCGCAGTTGCGAAGTGTGTGTGTGTGTGTGTATGTGTGCGTGTGTGTGTGTGTGTGTGTGTGTGTGTGTGTGTGTGTGTGTGTGGGGGGTGGGGGGGGGGGGGCAGAGCGATGCCTGAGGGCCCGGCCGCCGCGTGCACTGTGCTGCTCGGACTCACTTCGCCTTGTCGCTGTGCGCGAGGCCGCTGCCGCCAAAAACGGTGTGTGTGTGTGTTTGTGCGTTTGTGTGTTTGTGTTTGTGTGTTTGTGTGTTTGTGTGTGTGTGTTTGTGTGTGTGTTTGTGTGTTTGTGTGTGTGTTTGTGCGTCCCGCGCGCGCACCGGCCTAGGTTCAGGTTGATGCCGAGTTTGGGGCTTTACGGCTGATTCACCTGTCTGTTTCTTCGGATGTTCTTTCGCTTCCATGATCAGGGCAGCTCGCATGGCGATCATTCCTGCACAGACGGGTTTGGGAAACCCGAAGCGTCACTGTCTCGGGCTACCGGGAGGCCCTTGTTGAGCGCTACCCGAAGCGGAGGGTCGGCGGCAGCTTTTAAAGACGCTGGCCAGCATGGCCATCCTTGAGCCTCCTCCACGTCCCAAAATCCACAAGGCGGCCGCAAGACCCCAGCCACGCGCAGAGGGGGGTGGGGGGAGGGGGGAGGGGGGAGGGCTTCTTAGAAGCACCCCTGCTTCTTAGAAGGCGCGGGCCTTATCTATAGATGTAAGGCCGGCGCCTTCTAAGAAGCAGCCTCCTTCTAAGAAGCCCCCCCCCCTCCCTCCACCCCCTTGTGCGCGCCGCCAAAGACCGCAGAAGTGGCGTCCTGGGAGGACGCCAACGATACACAAACACCGATCCCGAGTGGGCCCATGCTGGGCCCAGGATGGGTGTCCGTGTATGGTTGGCGCCTTTTGACACAGCCTTCCGCAAACAGACAGACACAGACACCGACACAGACAAGACAGCCACATCCACACCCACACCCACACCCTCGCCTTCGCCCACACTCACACCCACACCCACACCCACGCCCACACCCACACGCGCACGCGCACGCGCACGCGCACGCACGCACACGCACACGCACACTCACACTCACACTCTTTTTCACACCAACACTCGCACTCGCATTCACACTCTCACACTCTCACACTCACACTCACTCAAACACCCATACTCACACACGCACGCTCTCACACTCACATTTTCACTCACACTCTCACACTCACACACCGACACCCACACCCACACCCACACCCACACGCACAACCACCCGCACACCCACGCGCGCGCACG